ATCGCAATGCGAAATGAAAATCGCAACGCGAAATGAAAATCGCAATGCGATTTTGGTTTCGCGTTGCGATTTTGTCGTTGCGATTTTGGTTTCGCGTTGCGATTATTTTGTTGCGATTTTCATTTCGCGTTGCGATTTTGGTTTCGCGTTGCGATTTTAAGTTTCGTGTTGCGAAAGTAAACTATTTCTTCTGCAAATTGAAACTTGAATGGATTGCATTACTTCAACCAAAAGACAAAACAAAGACAAATACTATTTCACAGTGTTAAAGAATACACAGTTTAGCAGAATTGGCAGCAACCGAACAAATTTACTTTCAACCAAAAGACAAAACAAAGACAAATACTATTTCACAGTGTTAAAGAATACACAGTTTAGCAGAATTGGCAGCAACCGAACAAATTTACTTTCAACCAAAAGACAAAACAAGACAAATACTATTTCACAGTGTTAAAGAATACACAGTTTAGCAGAATTGGCAGCAACCGAATAAATTTACTAAGCAATCTAAGTGAAATGGCTAATCTAAGTGAAATTACGAGTAAATTTATCATTAAGTTAAATATGGAAAATCTTAAACTTACCTCGTTGCGTAGAGTATGAACCTCATTCTGCAACGATACTATCATCTCACGTAGAGCGGCAACCTCACCACGTAAAGTTGACACCTCCACACGCCATGCACCATCGTTATCGCGTAGAGTACCGATCTCCTCACGCAAGGCATTGACCTCATCACGTAACTCCCTTGACTCATCCCGTGGAGGTGGAGGTGGAGAACAGGGAGATAGGAGTCGTGGCATCTTTGCCGGTCGCCTATCATGAGGTGATGGTGGAGAAGAGGCTCGATGATGTGACGGGATAGGTGATGGCTCTCGTTCTAGAGGTGTATAGTCGGGTCGATCGGGTGATGGCTCTAGGTGAGGTGATGGCTCTCGAATTGGAGGAAGTGGATGCTGCTCATCATCCGTGCCATCAAAAAACTCTGACTAGCTTGCCACCAATCAGTGGCAAGCTCTTCCTCCGTGGGTGTCAGTCTTTGTAATGGAATGTTGGCCTCCTAAAATATAAAAACTCAAACAAAGTTAAACGTCTACTATTAATAACTTGTTTATATATTATATGAAAGTATTTGTGTTAACTTACATTATTTATTGTCGCATATGGTATTAAGTCTTCCCAATCCAACAGAGTTTTCCTCTTCCAGGAAATAGCCCTGGGAATATCATTTGACGTTTTTATTGCATATGTACGCATGCTGGGGAAAGCCTCGAATATCCAAATCTACAAACAATATAATAACAAAATTAGTAATTGTTAAATAATTAATTATAATTTTAGAAACATTATATAGAAATTCTTACCTTAAAGGCCCAAACAAAGCCTGACAAAGTGTATTTCGACCCATCGCCACGCAAACTTTTGCGGTCATCAAAGGCAGTAGACAACTTAGTCCAGGTAGCTTTCCATATATACGAACCCCACGGAAACAGATTCCATGCATTCAGGTCCTCTACCAATATTATTAGCTCCCGAGGAATAGGTTGTCTGGCCTCTCTGCCTAAAAAGCCGACATACACAAGTAGTAGAAGGCATACTCGGACAACATCGACGTCATCCATCCGAGTGAAACCAGCTTTCTTATTAAACAATTTCTTCAGGTCGTCGACGTGTAGGTTCGGCTTCTCCATTGACTCATCCGGAAAAACCCGGGATAACCATGATGGGCGGGCGATATGACGAGTGTACCGGCCTACATCATCGTGTCCGAATCGTAGACCAGTGATTAAGCAGAACTCCTTCCGCCCAAAACAAGTATACGCTGGTGGAAAATGAAACCATATCTCTTCCTCACCACGTTGTATACTGTCGGGTAGATTTGATGTCATGGTCTGAAGCCACAAATGGGTCAAATTAGCATCTCCACCCGGATGCTGTACTCTCAGCCATGGCCCGAAGCAGGTTTCCTCAAACAATTGTCTTTGAGCAGGTGAAAGCTTCGAAGCAATTGTAGTGGCTAGGCTAACTTTATTCCTTAATGTCAATGAAGCCGAAAAAAATTTCTACAAAAACAATAAACATACCAAGTTAGATATACCAAAACTACACTGTGAAGATATACCAAAAACAATAAACATAAAAAGTAGTAGTTTATTCTTGAAACTAAAATTTGCAACACTGTTTTGTCTTTTGGTTGAAATGAAAATCGCAACGAGAGAATGACTGTCGCAACGAGATAAATGAAAATCGCAACGAGAGAATCGCAACGCGAAATGAAAATCGCAACGCGAAATGAAAATCGCAATGCGATTTTGGTTTCGCGTTGCGATTCTCTCGTTGCGATTTTCATTTCGTGTTGCGATTCTCTCGTTGCGATTTTCATTTCTCTCGTTGCGACAGTCATTCTCTCGTTGCGATTTTCATTTATCTCGTTGCGACTCTTCTGCAAATTGAAACTTGAATGGATTGCATTACTTCAACCAAAAGACAGAACAAAGACAAAGACAAATACTAACTTGAAAATCGCAACGAGAGAATAGCAACGCGAAATGAAAATCGCAACGAGAGAATCGTAACGCGAAATGAAATCTAAGTGAAATGGTTAATCTATTATTGAAATGACCAGTAAACTTATCATCAATTTCAATATGAAAAACCTACAATAATGCAAAATTTTCAAAATAAAAATAATTAAAAAAACTAACCCTCGGAGGTTGATTTTTCCATTTCTGAATATTGTGAGGGATTTCTGACCGTGAATGGTTGTGAGGGATTTCGCCGGAGATGGGGACGGATTTCGCCGTAGAGAGTGAGAGATGGAGATGGGACTGAGTTGTGATTTTAGGTTTTAGGTTATGAGTTGCGATTACGGGATTTTATCTTAATATTCGTTTTTGTAATTTGAAAATAAAATACGCGTAGCGATTATAATGGCGCTTTAAATATCGCGTTGCGATTTACGGATACGCGTTGCGATTTTATGTATTATCGTTGCGATTTACGGATACGCGTTGCGATATACGGATACGCATTGCGATTTACGGATACGCGTTGCGATTTACGGATACACGTTGCGATTTACGGATACGCGTTGCGATTTATGTGTTCGCGTTGCGATTTTCATATTCGCGTTGCGATTCTGGAAAATCGCAATGCGAATTTGTACTATCGCATTGCGATTTTCAAGAATCGCGTTGCGATTTTGGAAACTGATTTGCGATTCTGGGGATCGCGTTGCGATTTTTATTTCGCGTTGCGATTTTGTTGGTCATTTTGGCAAATCCAAAAAAAGTTGGTTAAAATCGTATATTATAAGGCATTTTTGGTCACTGAGGCGATTTTCTCTTAAAAATATAGTAACATTTATAATTTTTTAATTTTAAATATATTTTTTTAAAAAATTTGTCAGATTAATGACGAAATTTAATGACTATTATGACCAAGACACCTAAAGTGGTAGTGTTTGTACATTAGGCACGTGGACGAATAAAAAAAGTTTAGACACCTATTTAAGAAAAACGATATATTTTAGGTACTTATTTTATGATTAAGTCATATGTACTTACACCTAATGTAAAATTTTTACTCTTAGAAACTCTTAGGATCGTTGGATGAGAGAAAATGAAAAGGTTGAGATTAACTTTTTATTTTTTTTCCGATAAATATCTTCTCATTTTCTACTATTAAGCTCAATCTTTGATTTCCCCTCATCCAACTATCCTAAAAAGGTGTACGACAAAAAAAGTTAAACTATGTAATTGGATCCTAACTCTATATATATTGTGTAAGATTTTTGGTTTTACACCTTTTTTATGACTGCTAGACGAGAGAAATCAAAAGCTGATATTAATAATAAAAAAATATAAATATATTCACCGAAAAAAACAAGTGGTTAATCTTAACATTTGATTTCTCTCATTCAACGATCATAAAAAGGTGTAAAATTAAAAGTTTTATACTAAGTGTAAGTGGATCCTAACCCTATATATATTGTGTAAAAAAGATTTACAATGTTATTTAATAAATTAAATATTTAAAATTGTAATCAAATGATCAAATTAAATAAAATATAAAATCGAGAGAATTAAACTGTGAAAAAAATCACAGTTAAAAAGATGAATTGAAACTATATGAATATTCAATTATGGTTGTAGAGTTCAAATTTGATAAAAATGGATTTAAAATGAAAATTTGAAGAAATAAAATAATTAAGATCTAAATTTCAAACGATTAAATTATTTAGTTAAAAATCAATACTACACCATTTTATCTTTATTTTTCGATTATTTGAGCTTTATTGAATTCAAGTTTTGTAATATCACCTGAATGACCATTGTAGGACCCAAAACAAGTAATTATGTTGTGCGACAATTTAATTTAATGTTAAGGAATGATGAAGAATGAACGCAATCGAAATTATGATAAAAAATATAATATTTTTAGTTGAACACAAGTTAAAATGTTTACTTTCTTCGAATATTTTTTGTTCAACCGAAAATGTTAATTTTCTTACCGAAAATGTTATTTTTCATGTAACATTTTCAGATGTAACATTTTTTATTGTCAACAAAAATATTAAGAAAAAATTAATATTTAGATTGTGTCAAAAAATATTATATTTTTTTAAATATTTTAAGTTCGTCTATTCTCTATAGTTCCTAACCTATAATTATAAATTATAGTGTCCTTGACTTTAGCACCCAAAACAATCAATTAATCTGAAAATATAAAATGGGCACTGTTTACCTTTCAAGAATATACTGTATTGACTGCAGTTGTCTCTGACCTTGAGGGATGAAGAAAAGACAAAGAGAACATATCTCTGAAAATGTTATCCACAAATTCAAATACATCAGTTGAATATGTAGACAATGGATCAGCAGCAAGGAAGTCATCTTGTTCAAAGCATCTATTATAACATACATTTTGATGATATATATATAACTTCATTAATCATTACATTAATTATGTATCACGGGAAATATTTTGCCATGCTACTT